AGTTTATAGTTGAGAATGCAGAATAAAGCAGAGGCCAGGCATGGTGGAACAACTTTTAATCCAGCACTCAGGAGGCAAAGGTAGACAGATCTCTATGGATTCGAGGCCATCCTGATCTACAGAATGAGTTTCAGGAAAGCAGGGCTATGTAAAAAGACTCTGCCTCAAGAGAGAGAGAGTATGAGAGAGGGAGGGGGGTAGGGAAGGAGAGAGAGAAAAAAAAAAATAAAGCAGCAGGGCTAGTGAGACATTTCCGCAGTGAGGAGTACCTGCTGCTCTTGCACACACGACAGCTCACAAATGGCTGTGATTGTAATTCCAGGGCTCAGATGACCACCTCTGGCATCTGCAGACCCTGCACGCACACAGCGTGGTCATGCATATAGACCCGGGCAATGTTCTGTGGTGCTGCATTATTGGAATGCAGGCTACTTTAGCCACTCCACTATTGCTTATTCAGACTCTGTAAGTTAGAACACAGAGGTTTTCATGGGGTAAGATCAGAAAAGGTCCGGAACAAGGTGTGTACATTTGATATGGGTCATGTGACCATGCACCATTTCATGCTCTCCTCCAAATTGTTACATAATTTTAATTTTCCTACTAATCTGAGTAAGTTTTATATTGTTTTAATTTTTATGAAACACCTGGCTTACCTTATATTGAGATTAACTGTAGACTTTTTAGATTAGCTGCTTAAAAGAAGACTAGATATTGGTAGTTAAAGAATCCTACAGAGCCAAGCATAGTGGTATAGACTCAAAGCCACCCTCCAGAACTACATGGTAAAATTCTGGTTTGGTTTGTTTGATTGGTTGGTAGACTTGTTTGTTTGTTGTTGTTTTCACCTTCTTATGCTGCCTTTATTTTTTAATTATCACACAAAGTAGCATCTTTCCACATGGTATTTTCATGGGTACTTGGGTTTCATTTAATTCCCCTCCTTCCATTCCTACCTTTTACCCCTCCTTTGTGTGCTGCCTATGTACATACTTATACCTTTCTTTTCTTTTCTTTTCTTTTTTTTTTTTTTTTGGAGCTGAGGATCAAACCCAGGGCCTTGCGCCTTGTTAGGCAAGCGCTCTACCACTGAGCTAAATCCCCAACCCCCATACTTGTACCCTTCTACTCCCAGTATTCCTTTAAAAGTAAAGCCCATCAGTTCACACACTGAGAAAGTTTAATTTCAGCATTAAGTCACCCTGAATGGGATTCATACAGCCATCTTTTTGCTTTTGATCATTTACTAGGAAAACGGAAACGGTAATCTATGTTGACAGAATAACCCTGCAGTCTGTCATCTGTTACACTTTCATAGTCCCGTCTTTTAATTTCAGAAAATAAATGGTAGTTGAGAGTGTTTTTATCCTCCCCATAAAAGAATCATGAAAGTTAACGTTTTCCTTTTCCATGGAAGACGTGGTCAAGCCTTGTGCTGCTGAGCAGAAACATAAGAAGAAAATGGCCACCCACCTTCAAGTAGCCAAACTGCATTCACCTACTTTTTGTGTCTTTGTTTCTTTCAGGCAGCACAGTCAGTGCTGATTTCTTTATTTGAACTCAATACCCCGGAGTTCACAATGTTACTAGGAGCTTTACCAAAAACTTTCCAAGATGGTGCTACTAAACTTCTTCACAACCACCTTCGAAACACTGGCAATGGGACCCAGGTATTTCTCACTCACAACAGGTGGCTGTTGTGTGCTCTTGTGATTGGTTTAACAATGATTGCTTTGTTTTGCATTAAGTTGACTTAATTAATTTTACTATATGATTTTTATATCTGCATTTGGCAATATTTTTTTAGCGAGATTAAATATTGCCTTGGGAAGAGTAGAGTCCCTTGAACTATCCTGTTTACATTATAATTTGTATGCATTGGGGTAGTAGTTAGCAGTGGTCAACTTGGAAAGACACATGTGAGCAGAGTGTGTCTGAGGGACACCAGCTTTGGAGAACTTTAGGACATTCGTGCCTTTTACCCTTCAGATAAATCAGTTCATGTTTGAGCACCAGCAAATGTGACTCATCCTGAGTCAACTAGTAAGTTTGAAGAGAATCGCACTAAAGGATTTCAGGCTTGTTGGTGTGACTATTTGGGATTTTGTTCTGAGGAAGTCTGACTAAGCGTTCATTCCAGTGAAATGTATAGAAGTAGGTGTAATTTACGTAAAATGTCTAAAAGATTGAGTAAAGTTTTAAAAGAGGGATATTTGATAACAAGGATAATGCAGATGTACTTGATGCTAGCCTTAAGGGGAAGAGTTTCAGGGTTGAAAATGATGGCGGATTTTTAAGTGTGGCAAGACATTTCATAGCCCACTTGTACATAACTCAAGGACCTAGGATGCTGGACTGTGATGGTCACCAAAGACTGACGTGACTTGGAATCCAGCTTGTCTCATGCGATGAAGATAACAGATGCAGACTCTGGAGGAAGCATGCAAAGCAAAAGCAAGCTTTCTTAAAAAGAGTTACAGAGAAGGGAGAACTCCTGAGAGACAGAAAGGTTTCCAAGAGAAGAAAAACAGGCATCACACTTGCTCATCTAAGTTTTTATAGAGCTTTGTCAGAGAATGGACAAATCTTGCCTGGAGTAATTGCTATGAAAGTGGCTAGTTCTCTCAGATATTGTAGACCAGTAATGGAGGACCCACATAGCATTTGCATGTCCCCCAGCCCAACCAGAAAGATGATCATGCACTGTTTATGCACTGCTCAACAATGAAATATGGTGGGAGCCCCTTTCTGTCCACCTCTGACCTCAGATTTACTATTGACCTTGACTGTCTTCTAGGTATTGGTCACTTGCTGGATGTTACTACCCTCTGACCTTGCAGGTGTCTCAATTGATAATTCTAATGAACTCTTGGTTCCTCATGTCTCCTAATTGCAGTTAACTCGTTATCTTCCAAATGGTCTGGGTTCTCCTTCCTTAAAGAGGTGGAGGCCTTCTTAGAAGCTCTCTTTACTTAGTCTGTTAGAATTAGCTGCATTCGAAGCGTAGCTACAGGAAAGGACAATAGTATCTTACGAATGTTCCTCAAGGGCTAGAAGTAGGGAAGCAGCCTGCAGTCACTGTCCCAGAGCCCACACACACACACACACACCACACACACGCACACGCACACGCACACACACCACACGCACGCACACGCACACGCACACGCACACACACCCGCCTTAGCTGCTTAGTTAGCTGTGTCCGTACCCTCTGGGAGGCCTGCTCGGTCTCTGTTCAAGTGTGTGCTCTTTTCCTCTACTGCCGACAGTGCACCAGCTCCTGTGTCGGAGTTTCTCTGGGAGTAATGTCTTGTGAGCCAGTCCCTTCTCTTCTTAAATGGAAAAAGACAGATTGATACCATGACCAGATTTTACTGTCTTAGTGGCTTTGTGAAAATCATGTCTAAAAGACTCAGAAGGAATTAAATTGAACTATCAATGAAGTAGGAAGGGTTAATTAGCTAAGAACAGAAAGCTGATTTAAATTTTTTTAATATGAGGCAGAGGCAAACAAGTTTTTGTAAGTTTGAGACCAGCCTGATCTATATATTGAGTTCCAGGGCTACTTAAGAGACCCTGTCTCAAAAAAAAAAAAAAAAAAAGTTTAGGATCATGTTAAATCCTTCATAGAAAAAATGTTGATAATGTTTGAGAGACAAGCAGGTTAAAAACAAATGGGCATGGTGATACACACCTGTAACCCAGCACTTGCAAGATGGAGGCAGAAGGATTGGAAGTTCAAGGTCATCCTTGGGCATATAGTGAGTTCAAGGCTTGTCAGGGGTACATGAGACTCTCTCAGAGTGGGGCCGGGGATGGGGGGTGGGGGTAAGGAGGTGAGGGAGAAGGCTAAAGAGGTAGGTTTCTGAATCTGAGACACATTTTCTCCCAGAAGCCAAACGTGAGTGCGTGGATATTTAGAATGCTGACATAGAAGGCACTTGGATAATGTTCTCTCTCGTGACTGTGTCTCTTCCCTAGGGACCTTTTAGTTGCATTTTCCTGTAGTAAAACTCTTTTTACTCCCACTTCAGAGTTCCATGGGAAGTCCTTTGACAAGACCAACACCTCGATCACCAGCCAACTGGTCCAGTCCTCTTACTTCTCCTACCAACACATCCCAGACTACATTATCTCCAAGGTGAGATGACTGTTTTCGTTCATGTTCTGTGTTACCAGTTTCCATTCTTAGAAAGGCAGAGTAACTGTAATCCCAGTAGACTTTATTGGACTTGGAATGTCTTAGAAACTGAGCAGATTCAAACAACTTTGACTGTATATAAAATCTAACCCTTTAAATGGTGATATATAGGATGAAGAGGTATTGTTTTCTTAAAGAGCATAGTTACATTTCTCAAACTGTAAATTGTACAGGTCTTTTCTGTTACACTACTTAGAATAAACGGCAGTATCAGTTATGGTATTAGATAGAATACTGATGAATCACTTCTGAAAGGTCAGGAGGGACTTGAGCTTATAGGCAAAGCATAAAGAGAGAAGAATGGGGAAGAGTTAAATAGATTATGAGTACATTATGTATATTTCTAAGAAAATATGTGACTGAGATATTGCTTTTCAATACAAAGTAAGAGATAGAAAATTTTCGCACACAGTTCAAGCGTGGGTCTATTTGAGATTCAGTTCTTTTCTCTTTTTTTAATTGGATGTGTGTGAGTGCAGGTGCACATGGGCCAAGCAAGGGTTGTATGTGAAGGTCAGGAGACAATCTTCAGGAGTTTGTTTGCTTCCTCCCCTGTGGGTTCCAGGGAGTCAGTGCAGGTGACCAGGCTTGCTCAGCAAGCACCTTCACCAAACAGACCATCTTGCCAGTCCCCAGTTAAATCCTTTATTCATTAGTCGATAGCCACCAAGCCCCTTTTGCTGGCCTTTTGTAAAATGATTCCTAAAGTATTTCCTATTAGAAGTACTGGCCTACATTTTGTTATTGGTCATACATCATGGCTTGCTTTATCAGATTATCCATTAAGATTACAGGGTGCTACATCAGAGATTAAGAAAGAAAATGTATTGAAACTTATCACCTAACCTGTGTGTTATACATTTGTGACAATTTTGCTGGGTAAATTCAAGCCTTAATTGAATTTAGAATTTGATTATAGAATTCATGTCATTAACATTTATGTTCAGTGTTCAAAATTCAAACAGTCTGCAGAGATGACTCAGGAGATAATTGCTGTTGGTGAAAAAGCATGGCTGCCTGAGCTCAGTCCTTAGGTCACCATGTAGGTGAAGGAGAGAACTGACTCCACAGAGCTTTCCTCTGACCCCACATGTGTGCCATGTGCCCCACCCCCACCCCCACCCCGACACATAACTATAATACTTTTTTTTATTTCAAAATCTTCCCTGCCTCTTTTCTTTTACCTTTATTTTTGTTGTTGTTTATTTCCCAAGGCATATTTTGCCAAATAATAGGCAGGAACTATAAGTAGGTGAAATATAAGTTCCCTTTTTCTCTACCAAAGACTGCTCTCAGATGCTAGAATGCATGGCTACTCAGGCTGGCCTCCTGCTGGCCATGTGGCAGAGGATGGCTGTGGACTCCTGATCCTTCTGCCTCCACTCTCTGAGTGCTAAGAACACCAGCGTTCACCAGCAACTATGTTTGTTTCTTCTTAAACTAGTGCTCTTACTGTTTTTTACTTACAAGGACTGGGATGCATTCTATAAAGGGCCAAATGGCCAATATTTTAGGCTTTCAAGCCAAGTGGTCTGTGACCTTTATTCAGCTCTGTTGTTGTGCTCCTAAAACAGTCACAGACAGTCTTAACATACATACTGGCTATGCTCCAGTAAAATTGTATTTATGCATACTGAAACTTGAATTTTGTATAGTGTTCACATGTTATAAAAACATTTATTTAAAGTGTAAGCTGTGTTGATAAGATGGCTCAGTGGGTAAAAGTTCATGCTGCAAAATATCTATCGAACTTGGTTCCCAGGATCCACATGTGGAAGGAAAGAATCAGTTTCCAGAAGTAGTTACTTGACCTGCACACACATGCAAATTAAATGTAATTTTAAGATCAGGCATGGTAGCCCATGCTTTTAACTCCATCACTCAGGAGACAGAAGTGGGAGGATCTCTGTGAGTTCAGTGTTCACTGGTCATAGTGATACTTTCCTATAATTTCAGAACTCTAGAGGTGAAGGCAGGAGACTCTTGAGTTTGAGGCCTAGGTTGGCTCCAGAGTGCGTTCTGGCCAAGTTTAGGTTACAGAGTGAGTTTTTATGTCAAAAATAGATGATTATTATCTTCATAAATATCCTCAAATGTGTTTATTTCAACAGAGTCAGGTTTAGACCAGGCTGGCCTTCAACCTGCTATGTAGTAGAGGATGCCCTGAACCCCTGACCCTCCTTCGTCCACTCCCCAGGTGCTGGTATTACAGGTGTATACCACCACATCTAGCCTGTTCATATTTTAAAAATATAACTGAAAATTAGTAGCCAACTGTGGTAGCTTACACCTCTAATTCCAGCACTTTGAGGAAGATTGCTGTGTGTTCAAGACTAGCCTGAGCCACAGAGTGAGACCTTCAAAATAAATAAACAGACAGACAAATGGAGATTGGAGAGATGCTCTGTAGTTAAGAGCACTTTGGGACAGAGAGCCTGGGTTTGGATCCCAACACCCACTTGATAGCTCACAGCTATCTGTTAACTCCGTTTCCAAGGAATCTGATGCCCTTTGCTGACCTCCAAGGGTTCTGCACACACATGGAACACATGTATACATGTAGGCAGAACACTCATGCACATAGATATGAAAATCAAATCAAACAAAAAATAAAATAAGTAAAAATTAGTACCATCTTTTTCGCAGTGCATTTGATTACGACACAGAAAACATGAATTCTGAAGACATTTACAGCTCCCTTAGAGGTGTCACTGAGGCAATTCAGAATTTCAGCTTCAGAAGCCAAGAAGATATGAGCGAACCACTGAAGAGGGACCCTAAAAAAGAGGATGGTGACACAGTAAGTGCTGGCATGTTTGTTCCATCGTTATCACCATCCTAACATACCAGATCCCTCCCATGTGAGTGTTCTTACATTGCCCAGGCTGCTTTGGTTTCCATGAAGGACTGGGGAGGGGGGGTGGGGGTTGTTATTGTTATTGTTGTTTTGTTTGTTAATTTTCACGTATAATTTTTAGGAGGTAGTGACTCTTAAGCATTTACTGAGTATCAACCTCCCACGTATTAGCGAGTTTTAGGTATTAGATGTGTAAGACAGAGGTTCTTCCTATAGTTCTCTTTAGATTTCTAAGTAGAGATGTTTCTTTATTTTAGAGTTTTGGGTTAGATTGTACCATCAAGGAAGGTGAATGTATACCATTTACATTTGCATCTCCTTACACTTGTCTCTGGCAGCTTAGAGTACTCTTACAATAAGCCATCCCTTCATTCCTGTTGAGAGCATTGTTGCTCAGTATCCACAGAGCCCCAGCATTTCAGCACATCTCTGAAGGACTCCCCACCTACCTTTTCCCTCACTTGGTTTTCCTTATACCTGTCTGGTAGAGCTCAATACTAGTAGAATAATAAAAATGGTTGTCAAAAACACCTAGGTTTGAGGTTCCCTATCCTAAAGCTGCATGTGGTGGCAACAGCAGGGTAGTTTTACTGCTGAAAGGCTTTCTGTGTTTGTTTTGCAAATATTACATGACCAGGGTGGTGCCTCAAGTAATGACAGGAGCAGTTCTTGGCTTGGACTGGTTGTACATGGACTGGATGAAGGACAAAGGATGCATGTAGAGTTCCCAGGCACCAGCGTGGCATGTAGTTGCTCGATAGATGCTGATGATTGTGGTACTTGTGGTGATAATAATTTTGATACTTGTATTTGTATTAATATTGGTGTTTGAGCAAAGGTGTTAATATATCCCAACTCTATTAGCATCCTTCTGAAATTATATTGACCTTTAAACCTGTCCTTTGGGAGGAAGGAGGCATAAAAATAAAAGCTGAAAGATGCTATTAAGATAGCTCATTATTCAAAGATAGTATAGTGTGCCAAATTTCAAAGATGACTTGTTAATTGTTGTTTGTTTCATTGCTGAGATTGAATTCAGAGCCTTGAATGTACGGGGCAAACCCTCCTAGCACTGAGATATAGCCTCAACTATGTTTTGCTAATGAAAGCCTTTGTATCTTTAGCTGGCATAGAAAAGCTCTTGCTAATCTCGGTGTTAATGTTACATGGTTGAGTCATTGACAAAAATAACATCATTGGAGGCAACATTTGTGATGGCTTATTTGCCTCTCAGCTGTGGTTTCTTTACATCTTTATTTAAGCTTTTTCATTTGGAATATATTTTGTAACCCATACTGTTTCTCATTAATTTCTTTTTAAATTATTGTTACCTTTGTTTGTTTTTTAACTTACTGTTTTTATTTTAAGTGTATACACCTGTGCACCATGTGTATGCAGAGGCAAGAAGTGGTTGTCAGATCCCCCTGGAGCAGGAGTTACAAATAGTTGTGAACCACCATGCTGGTGCTGGGAACTGAACTAGGGTCTTCTAGAAGAGCAGCCTATGCTCTTAACCACTGAGCCAATTCTCTATGCCCTTAACTTTTTTTTTCAATAAAGATTAACTTATTTATTTATTTATTTATTTATTTATTTATTTATTTATTTATTTATTTATTTATTTATGTGTATGAGTATTTTGCCTGTATGTATGTGAACCATATGCATGCATTCTTGGTGTCCACAGAGACCAGACAAGGCATCTGTCCCCCTGAAACTAATGTTAGATGGTTTTGAGCTGCTATGTAGTTATAGGGAACTGAACCTGGGTACTCTTACCCACTGAGCCGTCTCTCCAGTCCTATTGCTACTGTTCTTAAATAGCCCCTTAAACAGTAGTCAAACACCTGTTTGTTTGTTTTTTGTTGTTGTTTTTTTGTTTTTTGTTGTTTTTTGTTTTTTAAGACTATTTTTATTCGTATATTTGTGTGAATATATGCCCGGGGTTGGTGCCTGCTGAGGGCATTCAATCTCCTGGAACTAGTATAGGGCCTGGGAACTGAACTCAAGTCCTCTGGAAGAGCAAAAAAACACTCTTAACTGCCAAGTCATCTTTCCAGCCCCCAAGAAGCATCTTTTTAGAATGTGAAGAAGGTATTTTAAAATGAGGTAACTTGCTGTGCCTTCCTCTTCCTGTCAATAGATGTGTGGCCCTGGAATGTCAGATCCACGAGCAGGAGGTGATGCCACTGACTCCAGCCAGACAGCTCTTGATAATAAAGCATCTTTGCTCCATTCAATGCCAGTTCACTCCTCTTCACGCTCTCGTGACTATAATCCATATAACTATTCAGATAGCATCAGTCCCTTCAACAAGTCTGCCCTCAAGGAAGCCATGTTTGATGATGACGCTGACCAGTTTCCTGACGGTATGTTACGGGTTACAATGCTAGCACTTGCATTTTAGAGGACCGATGATCAATGAAACAATGGCTGTATCTGCTTTTTTATTGTAACTCTTTAAAATGTAAGGAAATGGGGAATGGGAATGTGTACTTGTTACGTGTCACTGGGTCAAAATGGTTGACTAAGGCACCTTAAGGAAGGCTTACAGTTTCAGAACACACACATCATGACTGGAAAGTCATGGTAGTAAGAGCACGAGGCAGCTGCTCACATCAAATCGGTGTCAGAAGTGAGTGGGTCCTTATGTGTAGCTCACTTTCTCCTTTAATTCAGTCTGGAACTCCGGCCCATGGATGGTGCCTCCCACATTCGGGGCAGATCATCCCTCTTCGTGTAAATATCTCTGGACCCAAATATATGTGTCCATGTTGATTCAAAATTGACAAAATATATTCTCCTAACCTGTAAGTGTTTGTTTATATACTATTTTGATAGTTTTTATGTTCAGAGTGAGAACCTGGGTGGTCAACTTGACCTCACTGTCAAAAATCAAGATAACTCTAACATCCTCCCAGGAACAACTCAACCAGTTATAGCATATGAATTTAGTTTATTTCCAGACAAACTTGTATACTAGAATGACAGAGATCTTCTCATGAAATAACTCATTCTTTATAATAATACTTTGAGTGTGAAATCATGATCTCTTTTATGAATAAAGGTTCGTTTCAGGGCCTATTACAAGAGAGCATATTATTTATGTTCACATGAAGGTAAAATTGGCTTCAGTCTAAAGGTCTATGGGTTATTAATCTGCATAGCCTGATGGGTAGTCACTACTCTCTTCAGTAGGTGCCCTTGTCAACTCTGGAAAGGGGTAGTTGTGACTATACACTCTGCCCTTCTGATCACAGTAAGCAGCAAGGCACAGCCAAGATACATGAAAAGCAATAATAAAGTACAGAATACTGTCTCTCCTTGTTGGTAAGGAATTAGTTTTTTTAATACATTTTTAAAGATTTACTTACATTTTTATGTGTGTTGGTGTTTTGCATGCATGTTTATCTGTGAGGGTGCCAGATCCCCTGGAACTGGAGTTACAGCTGCCATGTGGGTGCTAGGAATTGAACCTGGATCCTCTGGAAGAACAGCCAGTGCTCTTTTGTTGTTGTTGTTTGTTTTCTTTTTTTTGCTTTTTCAAGACAGGGTTTCTGTTTGTAGCCCTGGCTGTCCTGGAACTCACTTTGTAGACCAGGTTGGCCTCAAACCCAGAGATCTGCCTGCCTCTGCCTCCTGAGTGCTGGGAATAAAGGCGTGTGCCACTGCTACTCAGCAGCAGCCAGTATTCTTAACCACTGAGCTGTCTCGTTAGCCCAGACTTTTTATTCCTTTGAATCCATGTTACTTTCTTTAAATATTTCCAGTACAGGGCTAGAGAATGCTAAGAGTACTTCCTATTCTTGCAGAGGACCTGAATTCAGTTCCTAGCACCCACATGGTAGTTCATAACCATTCATAACTCCACTTCCAGGGGATATGATACCCTCTTCTGATCTTGGAGAGGATCAGGCGTGCACATGGTACATTTGCACACACACAGGCAAAACCTCCAGACACATGAAATAAAATTGAAAAAAAGTTCCAGTGCTATTTGACTTTCTGTGGTAAACTTGAAATTCCTCTCAGTGCCAGACATAAAGCTTAGTGGGAAAGGCATTTGCCACCAAGTCTGACAGCCTAAATTCAATCCTTAGAACCCACATGATAGAAGGAGAGAACTGACTCCTGCAAGTTGTCCTCTGACTTCCATCCATATGCTATGGTGCCCATGCGCACAATAAATAAATACTTTTTAAAAAATGAACCAGGCATAGTGATGCAGTCCTATGTAGACCCTATCTCTAAATAAATAAATAACTATTTAAAAGAGAGCAAAGACAAATCCACTCTTTGGTAAGACTGGAGACAGTTCTACTGTGAAGAATACTCGATGCTCTTGCTGAGGACCCAAGTATGGTTCCCAGTACCTAGATCAAGCAACTCACAATTGCCTGTAACTCCAGCTCCAGGGGATATGATGCCTTCTTCTAGCCTCTGAAGGCATTTGCACATATGTGGCATACACGCACAGAGACATACACACATGCACATAAATTAAAACCATAACTAAAACCCCGCTCCTCTTTGATAACAATTGATGGACAGCCAGAACTTCATAGTGAGACCCTGTCTTGATATAGATGGAGGGATGGATGGATGGGTAGATAATAAAAATTAAGAATAAAACCTTTATTTTGCCCATATTTCAGGACAAAGAAAATAACTCTAATTGATAAAGTTACTCTCTGCTGAAAAATTCTGGTCCATGGAAGGAATGACATGATTAGATAGTGAACATTTTTTGTTGTTTTTGAGACAGGGTTTCTCTGTAGCTTTGGAGCCTGCCTTGGTACTCGAGCTCTGATTATGAGACTGGCTTCAAACTCACAGAGGTCCGCCTGTCTCTGTCTCTGCTTCCCGAGTGCTGACATTAAAGGCATGTGCCACTGCTGCCCCGTGATAATGAACATTTGTAACTCCTTAAAATAATTGTTCCAACAGCAGTCAGTGGGTCAGCCCACTGCTGAAATATTGCTGGAGAAGTTCCCAATGATCAAGTCGTAACTACCTGAATCACTGAAAGTGGAGTGTCCAGACACACAGAGAGCCTCCGGAGGAGTGCTTCCTGACTGGCAGTAACTAGGAGATGTGCAGTGGGGATGGGGATGGGGGAGGGCTACACTCTTGCTGAGCTCTGGGTGATAGCTCCGGGGTTTCCTTACACGTTGGTTGTGTTCTAAAGTGGTCATTTCTACACCTGAGAGTCAGCCTGTAAAAGTACAAAATTAATATTCCATCCTTCTGACAGATCTTTCCTTAGACCATTCTGACCTAGTTGCAGAGCTGTTGAAGGAGCTGTCTAACCACAATGAACGTATAGAAGAAAGAAAAATTGCCCTCTATGAACTCATGAAGCTAACCCAGGAAGAATCTTTCAGTGTTTGGGATGAACACTTCAAAACAATATTGCTGTTATTGCTTGAGACTCTTGGGGACAAAGAGGTAAATTGCACGATATGTATATAAATGATATTCTGTACTGTCTGAGGGTTTATGGATTTATTCTTACTTGGCTTTGTGGGTAGCAGACTAGGAATCACACCCAGGGCCTTTCCAACCCTTGCTTGTTGTTTAGCTTTCCTATTGATCAGCTAGTACACATTGGAACTTGACAAAATGACTCTGTTCTGCTGCTGTTTTCTGCATGTAGTTTTTACTCTGAAGTGCTGTTTCTTTTAGCAGATTTTTGTTTCTAAAAATTTTAAGAAGTTTCCAATAGTTAAAAGAAGATACATGTAGCAAGCTGATTCCCACAGAAAAGTAAAAATTACTTGTACATATTTAAATATGTTTTCAGAGCCGGGCGGGCAATGGTGACACACGCCTTTAATCCCAGCACTTGGGAGGCAGAGGCAGGCAGATCTCTGTGAGTTCAAGGACAGCCAGGGCTACACAGTTGGGGGGGGGCGGCGGCATGTTTTCAGTTGCAAAAATTCCTTTCATAGTCAAAATGTTACTTATTTCAAAGTAATAAAGCTGAGCACTTGGAAGGCTGTTAGAAGAATCACTTCAAGTTCAAGAACAGCTTGGGCGACAGGGTGAGACTCTGTCTGAAACCAAGTACCAAGCAGTTGTTTGCAGGTCTTCCTTGCAGAGCCTGTACTTCTGTGAATTTTAGCTTAAAAAGCACAGCTTTTCCTTTTCCTTCTATCTCCTTTGTGGTTATTAGCCAAAAGCCGAAGCCTGCTTCCCCTGACACTCTAGGCCTTGAAGATGCCCTCTGCCCTATATGCAGCTACTGCCAACCCCCATGCCTCACTCAAAAGTCAGGGGTTTCTCTCCTCTTCTCCATCTCCCTCCTTTCAACAACTTCCAGAATTTTTAACTTGTCTGTCTTGTTTTTTTTTTTTTTTTTTTTTTTTCTCACAAACTCTGGTAATATGGTCTTAAGCCTAGAAAGACTAAAATTTTTTAAAAATCTGTGTATGGGGCTGGAGAGGTGGCTAAGCCGCTAAGAGTGCTTAATGCTCTGGAAGAGGACCTGTGTTGAATGCCAAACTCCCGATATTGGGCAGCTCACAAGCACCTTAGCTCCAGCTCCAGGAGATCCCGTGCTTCTGGCCTCTGAAGGCACCTGCACTCTTATCCACAGGCACAGACCCCTAATTAAATATAAAATGTAGATGTAGTAGCACATGCCTATAATCTCTACATTCTGGAGGTGAAAACAGCAGGATTAAACCTTTGGGGCCAGCCTGGGCTACATTACAGCCTTGATCCCAGCCTATCTCCCAAATACAACAGAAGTAAGAGTGATCCGTTTTCCACTAGAGGTGATAAATTGTGTACTACATGCTTTATACAGTGTCCCTCCTCCCAACCTTAAAATGCTTATAGAAATTGAAAATGTGCAAAGATTTTGTGCTATCCAAAATATTATTAAAACCACTTAAATGTTTCTTCTTAGCCAACAATCAGGGCTTTGGCATTAAAAGTTTTAAAAGAAATCTTAAGGCATCAACCAGCAAGATTCAAAAACTATGCAGAGCTGACCGTCATGAAAACATTGGAAGCACACAAAGACCCTCATAAAGAGGTGAGTGACCAACAAGTTCAGTCACTAGTGTATTATCACAGTTATGTCTCATAAACCTGTAAGCACTTCCCAGAAAGCACTCTGGTTTGGTGGATGAGGGCTTAGTTTTATTTATTGTGTATATGTGCATGCTGTATGTGTGTGAGCATATGGTCAGTTCTTTTCTTCCACCTTTATGTGTCTTCTGGGAATTGAACTCAGGTCACCAGGCTTGTATGGCAGGCATCTCTACCTACTGAACCATCTTCTTGTGTACTTCCTCATACTTAGTCTTATATTATACCTTGGTTTTGCCTGAAACTCACTATGTGTTCCAACTGGCCTTGAACTCTGAACACCCTCTTGCCTGAATCTTCTAAGTACTGGGATTGCAGGTGTGAGCTAGCATTTCAAGCTGTGTCCTTCTTAATCATTTCCTTCATAAATACTTGTTTTTGATATAATGCTTGATTAAGATGTAAGCATAGAGCTGGGCACATAAATCAGTCAGTAGAGTACTTATTGCAGAACGATGAAAATCTGAGTTCAGTCCCCAAACTTGCAGGAAAAAAACTGGGTGTGCTGGTTTGAGTCTAACCCCAGGACAGGACAGTGGAGACAAGCAGATCACCAGGCCTTGCTGACCAGCCAGCCTAGCTGAACTGGCAGATCTCATGCTAATGAGAGACCCTTTCTGCAGAAACAACTTGGGGGCTGGCAAGAGAAAGGCATTTGCTCCCAAGGCTTATGATAGGAGTTTGACTCCCATGGGGGAAGGAAAGAACCAACTCCTGCAAGTTGTCCTCTGACTCCCACAGACACCCAGGCATACACCCATTAATACACATGCACGCAGAACACCATCATTTCAGTTTTTATTTTTGAATAGGAGGGGTGGCTTCTGAGGAATGACACCCAGCTCTGGCCTTCACACACACAGATGTGAGCATATGCTCTATCCCATGTGATACATGGATACCAAGACCTTTCCTGTTTCGATTTCTCCATTTTGCTCTTCGTTTTCTAATTAGAGTTCACCAGCCTGCATTCCACTTAGCACTAAGAATTTGCTGTTTATATAACAAGTGAAGATAACATTGTCATTTTTAAGTGTGAATCACTTACAGGACCTTTGCCTCTGTTACAGGTTTATTCAGTAAGCTTTTTTTTTTAATATTATATATACAGTGTTCTATCTGCATGTATTCCTACTTATCAGAAGAGGCCACCAGAGCTCATTATTAGATGGTGTGAGCCACCATGTGGGTGCTGGGAATTGAACTCAGGTCCTCTGGAAGCACAACCAGTGCTCTTAACCTCTGAGCCATCTCTCCAGCCCCCACAAACAGCCTTCTTAAGAGTCATGTAAACCTCTTTCCTTACTTCATGTTCATGATATTCTCGCTCCCTACAAACCACAGTGAGGTCTGTTCATTAGCCCCCTACATTCAAGGAGTGTTTGTACCACTTATCTCACAATGACATGAAATAAAGCAAACTAAGTAAATTCTTAAAGTCATGAAACTACTGTTGCCAACAGTAGAGGAACTGGGAAGAAGAAGAATGACAGGTGGAGCCCAGTGTCGGCAGCTCCTGGTAGTTGTTAGTCTGATCTTACCTCCCTTCTTGTATTCATCTGTTCACTGCAATATTTTCAATGCACATCCAAAGTACCAAGTCAAGTTAAATGCTTGATGAAATTCATATTTAGGATTTACAGTTTGTTTGTTTGTTTGTTTGTTTTTCCTGGCTGGCTTTGCCTTTTGTTTTAGGTGGTGAGGTCTGCTGAGGAAGCTGCCTCCGTGTTGGCTACTTCAATTAGTCCAGAGCAGTGCATCAAAGTGCTTTGTCCAATCATACAAACTGCTGACTACCCAATTAATCTGGCTGCAATCAAAATGCAAACAAAAGTGATAGAGAGAGTATCCAAGGACACCCTTAACATGCTTTTACCAGAGATCATGCCGGGTCTAATACAGGTAAGCTGCAGACTGGAGGAGTCCGTCAGGATGCAGGTGTGCTTTGGTTATCTCACACTGTTTTCAAGCAACACTAGTAGCACAGTGAAGACTGCCATGCTCAGGACAAAGATTTGCACTGGGGGTAGGTGGGGTTTAGGTGTGGTACCCAATATGTAACATAAAAGGTACTACTCAGCAATCTCTTAAGTACATGATCTGGTGTTGTGAAATCCATTTGTAGTGTTACATAACTGTCACTACTGTCCATTGCTAGACCATCCCCATCATTCTAGCCTAGCATTTTGTACAAAGCAATAAACCCATTTCTCATAACTTCCCTCCCAGTCCCCAATAATCTCTATTCTATTGTCTTTGAACTTAATTACTGTAGATTTTTCATATATGTGAAAAACATAAATATTTGTCCTCTTGTTATTTTGTGTTTTGTGGGTTCGTTCATAATGTCAGAATTTCATTCCCTCATGTAGGAATTTCCATTTGTTTATCCATCCATTCATTGCTGAATATTTGGGTTCTGCGTTTTTCTCTGCTTTTTATTACTATAACTATTGCAGTACTTGTGTACATCTAGAAGCAGAAATCTGTTGCCACATCTATCTGGAAAGTGGTTATACTGATGAATATTCATAGATGCATTGTGGCTGTGACTTTTTCTCTCCACCCATACATATAAACATTTTAGCAAAAATGGGATTATATTTTGCAATATTGCCACATACTGTAAAACTTTGTTAATATTCTACAATGTAGTTTTAGTGGCTGAACAATATTACATAGTATGTATATTGAGCTCTTTTTAAAGAGAATGGATAATTTATTCCTTTGCATATACAGTAGTTTATCTGTGACTTTGCCCTGAACTTTATTACCCACTGTGTTTGTGCAGGGCTATATATGCTTTGGTAATAAGCATAGCATGTACATAATGTATATGCTTCATATGTTATGAATGCTGAATTAATGTTTTCTGGATGAAGTCTTAGGATATGCAAATATGATCTAGGAGCTCCTGTGGCTCCAGGTTCCCATATTTGTTTCTGGTCTTGTGAGACTGGGTTTTACTCTGTAACTCCAGGCTGGCCTCACACCTGTGGCAGTCTTCCTACCACAGACTCCCAGGTGCTGGGATTGCAGCCTTGTACCAGCATGTGCAGCCTAAATTCTGAAGTTTGATGCAAAGCCTTATGACACGTGATTACTGAGAACCCGTCAAAAAAGCACAGGAACTGTAATGAATTGAAATTATAGTGTTTGTAATAAATGTTAAAATTAGAGTATATAAATACTAAGACCAGAACAAAGAGCGTCAAGAGGCAGTAGTAGTATATAGTATTTGACTCTCTGTACATGTTCACCAAAAATATTATCTCCCTGAGCAGCTAAGATTGCATATTGATGTGAGTGGAAGTGGACAGACATGGTGGTGCATGCTTTAAGTCCCAACACTTGGGAGGGAGAAGTAGGTCCATCTCTATGAGTTCCAGACCAGCCAAGAAAACTGAAAAGACAGCCATAGAATGGAGAAAAGTTTTGCAAGTTCGTATCTTATAAGAGCCAGAATATATGTAAAGACATATTCTAACTTAACAACAAAAAAATGGTTTTCATAGACAAAGGACCTGTATAGACATTTCACCAAATAAGATACACAAGTAAAATAGCCAGTGAACAAGTGGAAAAAACTAGTTCTCATTAGCCCTTATGGAAACATGCATCAAAAACACAATGCAGGGGAAGGGAGCTGGAGAGATGGCTCAGATGCTCTCCCCCACTCTTTAAAATGCTTATTTTTAATTATATTTTATGTATATAGGTATTTTGCCTGCGTGTATATTTGTGCACCACATGCATGCTGATGTTTGTAGATGACAGAAGAGGGCATCAGATCCTCTGTTCTAGATGGTTCTGAGCTACCATGTGAATACCAAAAATTGAGCCCAGGTCCGCTGGAAGAGCAGCCAGTGCTCTTAACCACTAAGCCATCTCTCTTTCCTCTCTTGAAGGGGACCCAAATTCAGTTCTCAGCTCCTATATCAGGTGGCTCACAACCACTTGTAACTCAAGCTGCAGGAGGAGCCAGTGTTCTCTTCTGGCCTCGCCAGGAACTGCATTCATGTGCACAAACTCCCACTTAGGCACACAGATATCCACATAATTAAAAATAAAAATAAATTAAAAAAAAAAAAAACACAGGGAAAGGCTGGTAAAATAACTCAACAGATGAAGACATAAGCCAGAGGACCTAAGTTCCATTCTCAGAACCATGTAAAAGTAGAAGGAGGGATCCAGCTCTACAGAGTTGTCCTCTGTGTTTACCCAAGAGGAGACAGGAGAAGTGACACTATAAACACTTAGTAATGAGTGAGTGCACATCACAGTACAGCACACAGTAGAGCTGTACCTGTGGGAAGGAAGCAGATGCTGGGACCTGCTGCAGCCCTTCTGCCAGCTGGAGGGGGCCAGATCCAGAAGCCCTCCAGCTCTGCTCTTCCATCAGCATCCCAGAGACAACAACCAGAGAACCTGTTTTGCCAGGAGCTGTGGGCCCCATTTTTTTAATGTATTAGCTGTTTGGGTTGCGTGTATGTATGTACACCACATGGATGCGGTGTTCCTATTGGGCAGAGAGAGTATCAAATCTCCTAGAATCAAAATTACAGTCCGTGGAGAGCCACTAGGCTGGTGTTGAGAATCAAACCCAAATCCTCTGGGAGAACAGCTATTCCTCTTAATCACTGAGCCATCTCTCCAGTAGATCAGGAGTTCAAGGCCCTCTTCAGTTACATAGTGAGTTTGAGGCCAGCCTGGTCTACAGAGCAAGTTCCAAGGCAGCCAGGGCTACACAGAGAAACCCTGTTGCTCAGGATGCTATGAATGTGTTGCTCTGATTGATTGATAAATAAGATGCTGATTGGCCAGTAGCCAGGCAGGAAGTATAGGCAGGACAAGCAGAGAAGAGAATTCTGGGAACAGGAAGGTTGAGTCAAGAGTCGCCAGCCAGACACAGAGGAAGTGAGATGTAAAAGTACCGATAAGCCACAAGCCACGTGGCAACTTATAGATTAATAGAAATGGGTTAATTTAAGATGTAAGAGCTGAGTGATTATTTTATAAGTGGGCTGTAGAACTGCGGGGGCCCAAGGGGGATTGGAGGAAACTCAAGCTACACCCTGTCTCAAGAAAACAAAAATAGAAACCAAAAAAAGATAGCCTCAGCTACATAGACTGTCTCAAAAAAATAAAACATAATGGGCATGGTGGTTGTACCTTTAATCCTGGTACTCAGGAAGTTGGTGAGTCTCCGTGAGGCCAGCCTGTTCTATATAGTGCTAGGCCAGCCAGAGCCGTAAGTGGAACTCTGTCTCAAAAAAAAAAAAAAGACATTGTTTATGGGGTGGTGGGGGTGGTGGTAGCACACGCCTTTAATCCCAGTACTCAGGAAGCAGAGGCATGCAAATATCTCTGTGAGTTTGAGGCCAGCCTGGGCTACAGAGTGAGTCCCAGAACAACCAGGGCTACACAGAGAAACCTTGTCTCAAAACAAACAAGAAAAAAAAAAGAGCTGGAGAGATAAATAATGGATATTGCTTGTCAAGAGGACTCAAAGCCTTCTGGAACTCCAGCTCCAATGAATCTGACACCTCAGGCCTCCACACCACCATCACCCCACACACACCATACAATATGCATGATAGGCCAAGTTAGGTGTATTGGGGTGAGGCAGCCCTGGGTTTTTCCAGTGCTCCTAACTGCTGTCATAGGTGCTCATAAATGGGAGGGGCAGAAGGGATTACGCGTAGCAGGCAGGAAATGGAAATGACAAAACGAATTGGAGACAGATTGCCAAGGCCTTAAGACAAGGGGATTTGAGGTTTAAGGTGACTGTTACACAGCAGCTGGAAGCTAATACAAACCAGATTAAGCTGGTCTCAGAGATGGACCTCCTGAGTACAACTCTGATGTCATACCTCTTAGGCTCCTTCACAGGTTTCCACAGCCAGAATGAGCCCCTATCTCATGTAGCTCTCCAGCTGGTCCTGCCTACCTCGTCCTCCTACTTAATATGTTTCTGTTTCAGTTTTTGAAACAGGATCTTACTTTATATCTCTGGTTGACCTAGAACTCGCTGTGTATATCAGGCTGGCCAAGAACTCAGATATGCCTGCTTCAGCCTTCCAAGTCCTGGGATTAAAGTCATACACCACCATACCTGCCCTCCTATTTTGTGTGTTCTCCTTTAATAAATGAATTTATTCATACATAGAAAGTGCTCGGTTGTTTATGAAATCATGTACTTCTCTCTGTCTGCTTCATTCAGCCCTCCTTCCCTTTTGTCCTTTTTCTTTTTGAGATTTTATTTTTTGTTTTATGTGTATGAATGTTTGCCTGTATTATATCTGTGCACCATGCTTGCAGTTCCTGCAGAGCCCTAAAGAGGTCGTTGGGGTCTCTGGAACTGGAGTTACAGATGTCTATGAGCTGCCATGTGGTTGGTCCTTTGCCAGTGCTCTTAACAACTGAGCCAGCTCTCTAGTTCCTTGTCCTTATTTTTTGAGATTGAATTTTATACAGCCCAGACTGGCCTTAACTTGCTGTATAGCATACAGTGACCTTGACATTGCGATCTTCCTGCCTTTACCTCCTCTCCTGAATGCTGAGATTAGAGTCAAATGCCACCACACCTGTCTTTTGCAGTGCTGGGGATCAAACCCAAGGCCTTGTGTGACCCAGGCAAGCACACTACCAACTGAGCTCCACCCCACCTCACACCACCCCACTCTGTGGTCCCAACTAGCTTCCTCCTCCTTTATCTTTCATTTGATTTCTTTGCAAAGTATTTTCTGAGTATTGTTTCCTACCCAGCTCTCTCCTGACCTGACCATAGCATTCAGTAACTCCAGTTCTGGAAGGTCAGTTCCATTTCACTGAACACCGAACATTGTTAACCTCACCTATCCTGGTCACATAGCAGCCCTTCAGTGTTTGAATGTCAGATATAGTAGC